ATCGATTTTTAAACCAGCTTTGTTGATATAGTTGGTTTGAATCCGATAGAAAAACCCTTCGTCTTTCAAGCAAAAAGAATCGCTGGCCAATTCATCCTCTAGGTATAAGAGGATTATAAAAAACAAAGAGGGAGAGGATGGATGAAATATGAAACTCACTTGTTATGACATCTTTATAGAGAAGCATTGGACTAAAAAAAGTTTACCAATCAACTTTGGACAAATTTAATTTTACAACGCTAAAAGATTCAAAGTTGCAGCGCTAAAAGATTCAAAGTTGCAGCCTTAAAAGACTCAAAATTGCAGCCCTAAAAGACTCAAAGTTGCATGGATGGCAAAATGAAATTTGGGGTTTGAAGCAACAATGACTTTTAAAAATAGATGAACCCAACTGATCTCTCATGCCAGGAAGTGGCAGCTTCAAGCAAGCCTGTGGCAAAGCTCATTGACCACCTGAACAATGGGTTTCAAATAAAAAGAAAAGAGCTTCTCAATACTGGCTTAGAACTTTCATCGACGGTGAAAGATTTTGAACTGGAAAGCTCATTTGCTAGTGGAAGGCATCCCGCTTCCGCTTCTTCCGCTTCTTCCGCTTCATGGAGTTCTGAATTCCTTGCCGATGAATGCTCTTTTTCAAAAAAACAAGAAAAACATTTTGATTCAATAACAAATGCTCACTTTCGTACATGGATCAATGAATTTTCGTTTGAAAAAGAAAAGAATCCTGAAGCCCTTTGGGCAGCAGAGTTTGACCAAGCTGAATCTGCAATGGAAAATCGGCTACCCATTAATGAACAACAGCAGTTAAATGAGCTTTTTGACCAATTCGAATCACTTTGGAATGGCTCCAACTCCAAAAGCTCTCAATCAGAATCATGGAGGGACGAGTTTTCAAACAACGATAGTGTAACTGATCAGACTGCTTCTGACTTTCAAATGTTCGAGTCACTGTGGAACAGTAAGGTCTCAAATTTGATCTCATCTTCGTCAAAGTATGCTTTTGAAGAAAATAATCCCTTCATGCAGGAAAGTGACCCCCTCTCAATTGGGCTGGAAATCTTTTCCAATCCCGCCGGATCGCTAACTGAGGCTGCACTTGCCTTTGAAGCTGCAATTCAAAGCTATTTGCCGTCCTCCGATGACATAAAGCTACTCTCTAAGGCGTGGTTTCTTCTCGGAAATTGTCAAGCAGAGAATGAAAAAGAAGGTGCTGCCCTTATCGCTTATGAGGAATCCCTTTCAATTGACCCAAAAAATGCAGACGCTCTTTTAGCCTTGGCGGTGTCGCTGACAAATGAAGCTTATGATGAGAGGGTTATTCAGGTGCTTACAAAATGGCTTGCCATTGCAGTTGATGGGTTTATTGTCCCTACGACCGCATCAAGAGACGCGCTTATTTCGGCACTGCTTGAAGTTATTAATCGACGAGGGTGGGATCAAAAGTTCTCTTCCAATCTCCAAATGGCTCTCGGACTTTTATTTTACAGCATGGGCGAGTTTGATCGATCCATCGATTGTTTTCAAACATCTGTTAATATGTTTCCCAGCGATTATTTGCTGTGGAATCGGTTGGGCGCGACTCTTGCAAATAACCATCAAAGCGAAAAGGCAATTGCCATGTATGAGAAGGCTTTATCTTTAAAGCCCTCCTTCATCAGGGCGCTGCATAACTTGGGTGTTTCTTGCATGAACGTTGGCTGCTACCAAGAAGCGGCGGAATATTTAATTCGCGCCCTAAAAGCGCAATATTTGCATCCAGGCATGCCACCTCCTGCAAAAAACATATCCACCAATTTATGGGAAACTCTTAGAAGGACCTTTATTTTTGGCGATCGCATAGACATGGCTGCACTCTGCGAATCCAGGTCTCTCGACCAGATCTTGGCTGAAATTGAAGAGACCCCCCATTGGTTTTCTCATGCCTCCGTAAATTTAGAGCCTTGATGGCAAGGCAAATAGAACTGCCGTCGAAGTGTGTGTTTCTTATAATTGAAATTTTAAATTTGGCCACAAATTGTTTAAATTTGAAATGGTTAGCGTCATCTCACAACAGCGGATGGTTCCTGTTGTTCCGCCATTCAAGCAGGTGCTTTGTTCTTCGCCCACGAAAAAAAACACCAAGGAATATTGGGCCAAAATCGCATGTATAGAAACCACTCTTGACGCAGACTCATCCGTTCAAACCGAAATAGAACTAATGCTCCACGAGGGAATCCCCTTTTTAGTTGGAAGGCAATCTCCAGAATGCCCTTTTAACAGCGCACTTTTGAGCCGAAGACATGCAGAGCTTTTGATCCTAGATGATACAGTAGTTTTAGCATCCAATAGTGTGTAGATATATATACGCGATATAGGCTCTTCAAATGGAACCTTTTTAAACGGTTGCAGATTATCTGCACAAGGCCACAGCAGTCCGTTTGCCTCGATATATTCGCAAAGTTTTCCTTCATCCCTAGTTCAATTTGGCGAGATTGCGTCAAAAGAAGGTTCGTCCTATGGGGTCTTTATGATAGGTGCTCTTCTCTCTTTCTTTGTTCTCCGAGTCCGCCGTGATCGGGAGGATTTCACATTATCAGTGTGCTCAGAAAACACTTTAGAGCTGACAAATACCAATGGGCACATCAACGGACACATCAATGGACACATCAATGGACACATCAATGGAAATACCAATGGGCACATCCTCCCTTCCAATCCGTCTTTAGCAGTAAACAGTCTAGAAGATGGTCGACTCCCCTCAAACATTAGCATCCAAAAGTTCACATCAAGCCGTCATAGGCACCTTTTGTTCGCCGGTGAGAAGGATAAATGCGATTGGCCTGCTGAGAGTCTGAAAAATACCAGCAGCCAACGTGTTATTGTGGGAATCGACAACAGGAACTTTATAAGATGGACATGCAGGTCCATTACTTTATGTTCCTTACTGGCGGCATTAATGGTTCTCGTTGTAAATAAAATTTTATTATTCCTTTAAATGGCTCAAAAGAAATGAGACCGATGATTTACATTGAGGATCCGTGCACGTGTGGCCGTGTCCAGAATTTGCGTCGCGCTCAAAGCTACAAAGCGCTTGAAATAAATCGATTTCAGATTTGCTTGGAATAGTGGAGACCTTACGAACGAGATGTAGCGTTATCTCCTTACTTGTAGAAAGACACGCCAGTGGCATAGCGGTATTCAAAAGTGGCTTTCCTTTATGCAACCAGCGTTGCTCGCCAGTCGGGATGGGGGTTTGGCCAAGACGATCCATTTCACTCTCATATGCATCGATAACGTCTTCAAGAGTGGAGGAGGAACACATAAGAAGCTGCAGCGGAATATCTAAATGCAACTGCTTCACGGTGACTGCATATTTGTCTTCAAAGATTAACGGGGAGTCGCCAGTGAACGATACAGGGGTATCTAGGAAATGGGTGCAGGAGCAATGTTTGCAAAGGAAATCCTTGATAAAATTTCTCACAAATTGCGACTCACATAGCCGATCTGTCGAGGAGCAAGTAGTGGCATCATCGCTACAAGGCGAGGTGGAGGAGCCCAGAACTTCCGGGGGCGACATTTTAAATTAATTTACAAATCAGCCATTTAAAATCAGCGCTCTGCAAGGTTGATGGTGCGCGGTGGGCACGATATGGTATTCTGGTTTCAGCATCAACTGTGCCAAGAGTTTCTTAATGTTTATTCTTTATTCGCCTGAACACTGGAGGGTGCATCGATTGACGCCTTTGATCGCGCTGTTGAAGGAGCAACGCCTTCTTTGGCGTAATTGTGAGCTTTATATTCAATAAGAGTATCCGGAGCAAGGCCAAAAAGGCTACGAAGTCGATCTCTACATTGAAGTTAACATGGAAAACATACCTTAGTTTTTGTATTTGGGGCAGATCATCAGACTTTGGCATCCAAATGGCGATAAAGTTTTCATATGGACGAATGGAAAAAACAACGCCACAAATATGTTCTTGGAGATCCGAAAATTCATCTCCAATCAGGGCAAGGAGCAGTAATTCCCAAATTCTGGTTGACACAGAGCTGTTCTTCCTCAGACGTATGACAAGCTTTCCACCATGCTGATTTGCCGGATCCTCCCAAACGGGACGGATATTTTCTTTGAAGAACGAATAATCAGTTGTTCCGACGGAAAGCTCATCCGGTCTTTTCAATGTCAAATAAATAGACCAAAATTCTTGTAAAGTTTGCATGGTCCCGATATACTTCAAAAGCGATTCAAAGTTTAATTGGGTCGACTTGAGACCTTGAGGCGGGCGAAGGTACCAAAATACCCACGCATAAGGTAGCTTTGTTTTCAATTGAAGAGCATCGGTGCCCTTTTCCTTTTGTAAGGAGTTTAAGATGGAGGAAAGATTTGGGGTCTCCTCGGAAAGAGTTTCGGTTGATGAACAAAGGGAAGGTACCTCGGATGTTTCGCCGCTTCCAAGCTCTTGAAGAAATGAGTATGGATTGCTCACTGCATTAGGCCCACAAAATAGAGACTCGCCAGACGATCCCATCGATCCAGAAGAAGACGTAACCGCCGAGGACGTGTAAACCATCGTCTGGAAAATGCAAAAAAATTATTTTAAAATTTGGCTTTAAATTTTAATTGCCAAGCATCGTCGTTCCTAATGATGAGCAACTGCACCTCCATTGGTGGCAGCGGCGGCCTGTCTTGCCTTCCATTCCATGTAGATTTGAGGAGAGTCGGTCCAGCATCCGTCTTTAACTAGCTGATAAAACTCCTCCTTAAACTCGGGCTCTAAAAAATATATATCATCAACCTGTGATAAAATAAAATAAACCAATACACAAAATTCATCCACCGGCTTCTTGGTGAGCGTGTTGTAACGTTCAAGTTTATCAGAAGTGAACTCCATCTCTGCAGACACTTTTTTCTCTATTTCGGTTGCTTCATCAATCTAAATGTAGGTAAACAAGCGGTACCAGAGCACTTCGCTCTGCCTCGATAAGAGCATACTCCTTGTCGATGGAAATGTCAATTTTGGGCGAAAAGGAAGAAATACTCGCTCGGAGATCTTCAATAAATGCGGCAGGATTTTCTTTCTTGATGAAGGGTGTCGAAATAGCAGCATTGGAATATGCATTCCAATCCAATCGAGAAAGCTTCCCTTTTGTCTCCTTCAACTCCAAAATAAGGCGACGAAGCTCCTCGTTTTTTTGGATGGTGGAAGTAAATATTTTCTTGTGACTGGGGATGACATGCGCAAATGCAAACGCCCAATTGAAAACCCTGTTGTTCATGAGCAGACCAAAGGTAAACGCAAGCGCAAACGCAATTTATTTTAAAATGTTCGAAATTGCGTCCGCAGCATGCATGCGTCACTTGGCCCGGTGTGGTCGTCACCACGGAAGGCTTGTGTCCTGGCGCTGCCTTGGCTCCTCTTCTGGTGCCCAAAATGGCGAATATAGGCCTATCGTTGGGCCCGGCCCCTCTGCAGACCGGCCATACACCGATTTTGACATGTCCGTTGGGCTGGAGCGACTGGAGTATCTTGCAAAAACGCATGGCATCAACATCTTTGACAACGAGTGGCTTCCTGGCGACCGGTTTGGCACACATGGGGATCCCATTCTGGTGGAGGCCACTGGCGATGAAAGGATTATCGGCTGTACAGGTACGTAGCTCGCAATCCCTCCGCATGTGCATAGGGGCGCCACGGACTAGCCACGAGACAATATGGTTCAACGTGGCAAAGGGCGAAATCGGGCGCTGTGTCGACTGCGGCCAGGCTTTCAAGGTAGTTGACGCCATTGCAATCGACATTGCGAATTACCTGCCGAAAGCACAGCTTCCCTCTTCAGACGGAGAGCTAAGGGCATTGTTGGATTCGCTGGGCATCGAGAGCAGCCATGTGGGGAAAGCCGCGTCAGACCAATAAAGCGTAGACATGGCATGGTAACCCCAACCCCAACCCGAAGTGTGAACTTGCTGCAATTTTTCCTATCAGCGGCACTTGTCAAAGTTTATTGAAAATTTATTTAGGGTTAATTTACTGCCTGCCCTTATGATCCACCTACGAGATTACCTACAGAGAAGAGGTAACTTTATCGGATTCTTCTGAATTTCCGTCTTGTTGATTTAAACTGTCTTTTTTTTCATTTAAACTGTCTTGTTCATTTAAACTGTCTTGTTCATTTAAACTGTCTTGTTCATTTTGCTTTGAGTTTAGACGGCTATATGTGTCAGATGGAAACATGTTTTCTAAAACTGAATTGTGTCCTTTATCTGAATCTTCGCTTTGTTCATCTTCATGTTGCAATTGATTTCGTTTAGATTGATATCTTTTTTTAAACAGAGGCATTAAAGGGACAAGAAATATGGCGACAAAGTATTGGGCCATTAAAACGGCCATAATTATCATCAAAAGTGTTTTTTTTTCGACTACTGTTTCGATAGTCTCGTATGAAAACCAGTATATATTTAATATATTCATAATAATACCACCGTAGATTATAGAGTACTTTGATAGTTTTCCAAGTTCATCTTGGCCATATCTAAGTAGGTTAAAAAGCTCGATCGAAATTGGTTGGCCAAGGATGATTTGAAAAAGAAAAAAAGAAGATATAAATAGAATATGTAGAATGAATTCAGTGCCTGCATTTTTATCATTATCACTGACGGTTACTTTTGTAGAATTATGAAAAAAAATATTTTTGAGATTGAAAAAGATCATAGGAATTTCATACACAAGAAAAAGCACGCCAATGTAAGGCGCAATAGGATATGAAAAGATTCCAAAAAGAACGAGTCCGAAAATGCTATAGGCGAAATACCATACCGTTATATTTTCCTTATGTATAAGCATTACGATACACATGATGGTTTGCCAAATGAAATAGCCGAAATTGATCTTATTGATGTCTTCTAAAATTGGCAAAGTGCTAAACCAATCCCTAAAAAGTTAAAAGAAATAATCTCTAACCCCCTAATGTTATTAATACCTAGCCGCTTTTCTAAAGAGTTCGGTCGAAGCACTTGAGTGGAGAAAATTACGAGGACAGATACAATACTTGAAATACACGCATGTATCAAGGCAACGAAATATGCCGATTGCTTAAGGAAATCAAATTTAAAGATGTATTTAAACCCGATCTGTACAACAAAACATAGCACAAAAGAAATGGTAGTGAAACTTTTTGGAGAGAAGGCTTTAACACAGGTCACCAAAGCAGGAGGAAATAGACGCAAAACAGAGCCTAAAAAATTAACAAAACAGGTGGATAGATCCATGATTGAAAAAGCAAAATTGAGTGATCTAGATTATCAATATGACGATAATCATTGGCTGTGCATATGTGACACATACAAATTTTGTTCATTTGTGCATTTGRTAGTTTGATAATTAAATTTAAATTGAGGCTATCAAAGTTTGCGCGCGCATTCAATTAAACTCGAATCAACTGATTTAGGGTCACAAAAATGCTTGCAAGATCCAATTTGATGTTTGAGCCTCTTTTTGATCCCCCCCTTGCCTATCAAAGGTACAAACGCGCCTTTGAAGTGGTCGCTGGGTGCTCCAGGGTTAGGCGCCATTTCTAAAAATAGATTTTGGACGTGGGGTGTGGAGGCGGACAGTTTTTGGAGTTTTTTCTTGGCCAATTGCTTTTCCCATCAATTTCCGAACCTCTTTTGATGATGGAAGAGGTAGAACTTATCGGGATAGATGCAGATAAATCAGAAATATCAAGCGCCAGGCTCAGACTAGAACAGCTTCGCTACAGAATTGATGGCCGCTTGAGCGGGCCCTCTGTTAGGATAATACTGATTCAGCGGCCAGTTTCTGCAATACCCGCAATGAATATTTTTTTTGATGGGCTCTCGGCGATTGAGATCATTGAGCACCTGGCTCCCGACGAATTGGAGGCCTTTCCAGAGCTTTTCCGCTATTCGTCAGACTTTTTGTCAAAGGCAACCGTTACTACGCCAAACTCGGAATATAATCTTTTTTTGCCGTGCGGACCAACACGATTTCGACACCCAGACCACAAATTTGAGTGGACGAGGGCCGAATTTAGACATTGGTGCCGTTCCCATCTTGTGGATCCAAACATCGCCTGTCACTGCCAGTTTGAGCAAATTGGAATCCTGCCTGGTAAGGGAAGCATGTCTGCTACAGGAGGTTGTTCGCAAGCTTTCACCATCAGCCTGCAATTAAAAAAGGCACGGATTCCACCATTCATCCCTCCAGCGGATGCATTTACTTTCCACTTCAAAAGCAAAAAGCTAGCAGACAGGGAGCGGTCCTTTCTTATCTCAATGCTGAAGCCACTGGTGTATAAAAAGGAGGCTGTATTACTTTCAGATGCTGTAATTCAGTTAAATTGCCTACGCTATTCAGAGGAATTTATCACAGATGCGATCGCTAGGAGTGATGAACTGGACTTGACCATGGACGGTAAGTCGTTTTATGAGGTCTGCAAAAATTTTAATTAATTTTTCAATGGACGAAATTCCGACAGAAGATGTTCATGAATGGCTCCAGTGTGCTAGGTTTGGCGAGCTAGACTTGATAAAGCATATTCTCGCCGATATTTATCCAAAATTAAAGCAAAAACTCATCAATGCGTCAGACTACGAATCAGGGAACACAGCACTGCACATGGCTGCTGCAAATAGCCATTCAAGTACCCTATTCTTTGTCATCCTCAGATGTTATTGCATTTATATTAGAACAAATGGAAAGGTATGAAGACAAGTATGCCTTGCTGGCCCGACAAAACAAAAGCGGAAATACAGTGCTCCATTGGGCCGCAATGTCTGGAAATAAAGACGTTCTTTGCGCGCTTTTCCAAAAAGATCCGGCTGATATCGCTGCTGGTGGGGTAGAAGAAACCGAAGATGAAAAGTTCATTCCATTTGGGGCCATTTTCAATGTAAAAAATAATGCCGGACGTACGGCTCTGGACGAAGCTCAAATGCTCGGAAAGGATGAAGTGGCCGGACTTCTTTTGAAATTTTCCACTTTATCATAAATCGCAATGCTATGTGCCGTTTTAAATTTTTTTACCGTTCTAAATATGAATGAGAGTGGGGTGAAGCTTTATCGAGAGCTTTTGCGAGCCATAAACTTGGTTTTCAAAAACGATCTTTCTGTAATCAAGGCAGCCAAAATCAAGGTTCGCAGCGCATTTGAGAGCAACCGAAGCCTTTTAGATAAGCAAGACATTGAGCAGCAGATTGTCTTTGGGCGAGAGGTGGCCCGTTTTCTGTTGAAAAACATTGCTCAAGGGGTCAATATGAGCTCTTTTGCATCTAATCCAACGTATTTGGTGAAGATCGAACAAAGGCATGAAATGGCAGACAACGATGCAACTCCCTCCTTATTAGACGCCAAATTAGAACACATTCAGCCGATCGGTCCTTGCAAAGTCAAGTGTAGTGGGTGTTCGTGCACCTTTTAGCACCATCATTGCCGCCGAGAACGGGTTTTGATTGCCCTTTGAAACGGGGTTGATTAGATCATTAAATTTATTGAGCGTCAAATAACTTAATGGGCTGATGCGTGGGTCGGTGGTGATCACTTTGCAATCTTGCCCCAAGGTGAGCGCGAATGATGGCCCTTGTTTCTACCGCCCTTTCCACCGCCATGAGGGTGGTCTACAGGATTCATGGCCATGCCTCTAACTGTCGGCCGTATGCCTCGCCGCCTATTTACACCGGCCTTGCCCAAGGGTGTCGATCCCCAAGAAATATTTGAAACCTGACCAATGGCTGCCTTGCAGTTTCGATCTACAAGCACCTTCCTTTTGGAGGGCATGATAATGATTGCCTTTTCTCCGGAAAGATCCATTCCTTCAAAAATAGCCCGAGTTCCAGCAGACCTTGCCAGCTGGGGCCCTTTTCCTGGCTTCAGCTCGACATTGTGAACAGAGGACCCCACCGGAATAAAGGATAGAGGTAAATACTCGCCAAGTCCGGGAGTCCCGTCGTTTTTAATGGTATCTCCGACCTTTAGGCCATCTGGTGCCACAATATACGAAAGAGAGTTATCGGCCTCTCTTTGGAGCAGCGCAATATGGGATGTCCTATTCGGATCTTTTTCAATGCGAACGACTCGTTGGATCGGCGGTCCGGTATTAGATGGGGGTTGAGATTTGACACCCAAAAGCAGCGGACTGAACGCCTCGGTTCTTTTAAAGTCAATCAAACGATATCTGTGACGTTCCCCGCCTCCTTTGTGCCGAACAACAATCTGCCCGGTGTAGTTGCGACCCGAATGGCGCTTCTTTGTGGCTGTAAGGTGCTTCGGGGGCAGGCCCGCTGGCGGAATTAGGGTTAGATCCTTACAGCGCATGTGGGGCGGTATCTTTTTGTTCAACTTCATCAATAAGAGTATGGTTTTATATTGCTTTGGCTGAAGCGTAGACAAAATCGAACCATCATTGATTTTTTCGACAAGAAGCGAGCGATCAGGCTCGGAAAATTCTGGAAAGCGCGCTGATAGCTTTAAAAGAAAAGGAGGAATTATGGGTTTCAAGGCTGGCTTGATGGTCTGCGCAGTTGAAAGCAGCCTTTTGAAGCATGGGGGCTTTGTAAACACCGCTGCTGGAACAGATGCTATCATGGGGCTCTGCTAAAATTGTAGTTTTAAAAAGTTGGAACGTCCAAATGGCCAATTTTCGGCCAAAGCGATGTCAAAAAGATGGTTTATTTCCCAAAAGCCCTTACTTGCACAAAATTTTTGCAAGAGCCTTTACAAAAAGGAAACAATCCACAAACGTATTATAAAGAGCCGTTGGAGCTACCCTCAGTACATTTGGGCGCCTAGTATCGACAACAATTCCTTCCAGCAGAAGCTGTTTGGCAACTTCATCAATTGGGATGACGGTGATGGAGATGGAAAGCTGAGCTCCGCATTGGCCTTCTGGCGTAATGATGGTGATCGTTGGTGGGCCGATCCGCTCCACCAATAGGCTTCTCAAGTATGATGTGAGTTTCGTGGATCGTTCTCGAAGCGGGATAATGCCTCCCGTATCACGAAACAGCTGCAGGGAAACCTTGACCGGGACCAAACTTAGAATGGGCGGGTTGGATACAAGATATCGCCCGGCATCGCCTCTTGGATGAAAATCTACAAAATTGGAGCGAATCAATACCGGGCAGCATCAGAAACCGAGAAGATCGCTCATTTCCCCACCAGCCCAGTAGCCTTGCAATGAAAACAAGTAAATGCATACGCTGGGAGTTTGTCATCTTTGTCGAGATGCCTTTTGTTTATGTAATACCCACCGATAGAGCCAGGGCCTGCATTGAGGTACTTGTAAGTGCACCACACGGCAAAGTCGACATCCCATTCGTTAAGCGCTAAAGGGATATTTCCAACCGCATGGGCAAGGTCAGCTCCAATAGCAGGGATGCCAAAATTTATCAATAAGCATTTACCTATTCCCATTAGTATGCTAACAAAGCGAACACGTGTGTAAATAAAAACTATGAAGCGATGGATACAGGTTAGGGGTGTAAAGATCGCAAGAAAGTATCAAGATGGTGTGGCAGACATTCTGACAAGAAAAGTGTTGGCTTATAAACAAACCTCTTTTTCTGGCATGCGAAAAAATCTTTCCTAGCTCGAACGCTTGCCCCGTAAGAAATTGGATGTTTCCTAACAAAAAAAGCGCAATACCCTCTATTCGGTCTAACGATGCAAGGATATGTTCCGTGGACGAGGGATCATCAAGAAAAACAATAGAGCTGTCAGGGTCATACCCATGGAATGATATGTGCGAGCGGATAGCATACTACAATAAAACCGAGATACATTACCAAATCGGAGGGGAAAATGTGCATTTCTACTAAAACTTTATGATGCGTTTGGGTGGGACAATAGAACTTGGCCAAAAGTAGATGGAGATTTACGGTGAGCGTATTTCCTATTCCAATGGTTCCCTTCATCTCGCCATGTAGCGGTGAAAAAATTAACGGCTCCATCAGTAAAGCGCATTGGTCCTCAAGAGCTCCCCAGCCATTTTCGGAATAATGTCCCAAATTTGCACTAAAGATGTTAGAGATTGCGGAGGCACTCGTTAGCCCAGATCTGCAGCATTTCAGCAACCCGAGCGGCGGTCTCTTTTGGTTGTAAACCAAGGCTATGCCCACAAAGATATATCTTCTCCTTCCCAGATGTCGCATCGAAGGGAATCAAAAACTTGGATCTAAATGAAGGGTTTTCCAAGTCAAGTCGCTTTGCCTCTTCCATAGAAGTTGTAGCGTGGTCTTGATTTATGGCTAGTGTGCAAAATATACCCCAAAATAAGATCAGTAGTCATATCACCGCACATCCAATAATATTGGGGAAATTTGGCCTTAAAGTGCAATTAATGAAACAATATGCTTGAGACCAGGTTGGTTTACAACGCTTGAATCGTCCCTGCTTTTCATAACATGCAGTACACAAGGTGTGAGCATATGACTTGAGTACGGTAATAATTACCTACTATCTTTGACAATAAACAACTCCATTTGCAAAAGCAGCAGAGCACGCGAGCCAATCACAGCTGCATTTAAAATTTCAAATTTTAGCGCTCAACTTGGCCCAAGTCAAAATGTAGAAAAAGTTGGCCATGTGCGAGTTTCCGTGTAGCTTTTAAATGCCTTTGGAAGCTTTTTGGAATAATCGCCTTAATGGCCCAAAAAATTCAAATTTACTCACCAAACCACCAATTTAATTTATCGACCAACAATTTAATTTCCCTCTAATGGAAGATCTGATTCGGCAGGGCCTTTACGTGACCGCAAGCGTACTCAGGTTAGAACAACATGCACAGAATGCTTCCATTGAGACACGCAAAGAACTAGATATAGAGCCTTTTGTGCACAGTGAGTGCATTGTTGCTCCAGAGCTTGCCAGAGACCATGTCAAGATCATTGAAGGTTTGGTTTGCGATTTGAACGAGGCTATTGATTGTGCACAAAAAAGGTATTCGTTCACTATAATTCCTCAGAGCAAGTCTTTTAGAAAAAATTTCCTCGCTTGCATGTCATTCTTGCCTTGTAAAGAAAGCAAAAATCAAAGCCAAATCAAAAAGGAAACTTCAGGCGGCTACAGAGCACAGTCCAGAGATGGCCTCTTCGCCCACAACAGATACGATAGAGCCTCTTGATATTGTTGTTGACGCAGCAGCAGCAGAGCTTCGCCCGATTTCGAAGGCCATTACTTCATCGCCGAAAAAGGCTGCACGAAAGGCTTTCACCCCGAAAAGCTCCTCGATTTCTTCTGGCCCTGTGCTTTCAAATTTTTTTTCAATTGTTCGAAAAGAAAACGAATCCGGTTATCAAGGAGGCTCTAGCGAGCATCCCATGTTGCTGGAGAGTCAAACCCATTCGTCTTCTAGCGGATTTTGGTCCTACTTTCCAACGTTTTTTGTAAAGCCCAATGTCAAGATGGCGAAATTTGAAAGTCTGCTCCAAAAGACAAGGAACACCGGTGCAACCATTGAGACGACAAATGAAAACAACAATCGGCGATCATCTAAAGAAATCGAACAGCTTTCGCTGCTTCCTATGGTCCGCTTTAAATTATTCCATTTTGCCGAAAATATCCGGCCTTGCTATTTTGGAACCTTCTCTAAGCAGTCCCTTATCATAAGTGGCCGTCGTCCATTTGCCAAAGACCTATCAAAGGAGCTCGAGCTGGATTATTCCGTTGAGTCTGACAATGAATGGGAGGATGACTGCGATGAGCTTGAGGGCGAAATTGAAAACATCTCAGACACCGATCAAAGCGACTCGGGCTCCGAAGATGACGAGGGCGAAGGTGAAGAAGAAGAGGAAGATTCCTCTTGGCTTGTACCTCATGGATATTTATCCGATGACGAACTGATGTGTGACGAAAGGGATGAAAGGGATGTATTTTCGCTCGACCAAGATATGAATGACCCTGTTTCGCGTAAACGTCTTCAGGACTCTTGGCGGGCCGATGGTCAGTCGAACCCCACCTTGAACGGCGTGCCCAGGATCTACTCTTCGCTTGGGCAAACTTCTGAGCAAGACAGCCTATATTTATCCTCGTTTTCTATGCGGCCGTTTATGAATTTATTTGCAATCGATTCCAAAATTTGTCCCCAAAAAGATGGGCTTATAATCGATAACCTTACAAGCACATTTAGAATGATAGAGCGACATGACGTGATTCTTGATCTCTCTTTGATGTTTAAAAAGAAGAAAAAACGCGCAATAACGCCCTTGATTTCGGGAACTGGCGCTATGCAGGAGCATAATGTGCCACACAGACGGGAAATCCCAACTTTGCACGCTATGCCTACGGTTGAAGATGCGAGTGCAGAGAAAAGCTATCCTGTTGAAAAGGAGAATTTGCAGCCTGCAAATGTGCAACCAAACACACATTCAGAACGGGCCCCGATAAAGCGAATCGCCCCCATCATGATTTCCGGGAAATGAATGGCACAAAATTAAATTTTGTAAATGCTGAGGTTAAGTTTTACAGGCGCAGGGCGAGGGGGTGGCTTTTAATTTCAGATTAATTTTAAAATTACTCCGAAATGTAGAAAATGCTGGAATATTCCCGAAAACGGCAAAATTTCATATAAAAGCTTTGCGTTGCGTTTTTGCTTTTCATTACTCGCTATGTCAAAAAAATCGCCCGCTATTGGTATTGATTTGGGAACCACCTACTCCTGCGTTGGTGTCCTTATTGGAGATCACGTCGAGATCATTGCAAATGATCAGGGAAACAGGACAACTCCCTCCTATGTCGCATTCACAGACACTGAGCGTCTTATCGGAGATGGTGCCAAAAATCAGGCTGCCATGAACCCAGAAAATACAGTCTTCGACGCTAAGCGTCTGATTGGCCGTCGTTTTGACGATCCAATTGTCCAGTCTGATATGAAGCATTGGCCATTCAAGGTCGTTGATGCCAACACCAAGCCCAAGATTAGCGTTGAATTCAAGAGCGAAAAGAAGGAGTTTACTCCCGAAGAGCTTTCTTCCATGATCCTCATCAAAATGAAGGAGACTGCTGAAGCATATCTCGGTACTACGATCACCAATGCTGTGATCACGGTTCCTGCCTATTTCAACGATTCTCAGCGCCAAGCAACCAAGGATGCCGGTGCTATTGCCGGTCTCAATGTGCTCCGCATCATCAACGAGCCCACCGCTGCAGCCATCGCTTATGGTCTCGATAAACAATCTGACAAGACCGAGCGTATTGTGCTGATCTTTGATTTGGGTGGTGGTACTTTTGATGTTTCTTTGCTCTCCATGGAAGGTGGTGTCTTTGAAGTAAAGGCAACCGCTGGTGACACGCATCTTGGAGGAGAAGACTTTGATTCCAGAATGGTTAGCCATTTTGTCGAGGAATTCAAGCGCAAGCACAAAAAAGACATCTCTGGAAACGCACGTGCCATCCGCCGTCTTCGTACAGCCTGCGAGCGTGCTAAGCGCACCTTGTCCTCAGCCACAACCGCTTCCGTTGAAATCGACTCTCTATTTGAGGGCATTGATTTCTACACCTCCATCACTCGTGCTCGCTTTGAGGAGCTTTGCCAGGACCTCTTCCGCTCTACGCTTGATCCCGTGGAAAAGGTTCTTAAGGATTCTCAAAAGTCCAAAAATCAGGTTGACGAAATTGTCCTTGTCGGTGGCTCCACCCGCATTCCCAGAATCCAGAAGCTGGTGCAAGACTTTTTCAATGGAAAGGAGCTCAACAAGAGCATCAATCCTGACGAGGCTGTTGCTTATGGTGCAGCCGTCCAGGCTTCCATCCTTAATGGCGATATTTCGGAAAAGACCCAAGATATCTTGCTTTTGGATGTCGCTCCCTTGTCTCTCGGTATCGAGACTGCCGGAGGTGTCATGACCCCCCTTATCACTCGCAACACAACGATTCCTACGAAAAAAGCCCAGGTATTTTCCACGTATTCTGACAACCAACCCGGAGTTCTTATTCAAGTCTTTGAAGGCGAGCGCACCATGACCAAAGACAATCATTTGCTGGGCAAGTTCGAGTTGGACGGTATTCCACCAGCCCCCCGTGGTGTGCCCCAAATTGAGGTTTCATTCGACATCGATGCTAATGGCATTCTCAATGTCTCTGCCGTTGATAAGACCACCGGTCGCTCTAACAAGATCGTTATCACCAACGATAAGGGCCGTCTTTCCAAGGATGAAATTGAGCGCATGATTAGCGAAGCCGAAAAGTTCCGCAAAGAAGATGAGGCGGTCGCTGATCGCGTTACTTCCCGCAATTCGCTCGAGTCATACACTTACAGTCTCAAGAACTCTCTCCAGGAGAAAAACATTTCGGAAAAGCTTTCTGCCGACGAAAGGAAAACCCTTGACTCTGCCATCGATGAGGCCGTCAAGTGGCTGGACCAAAACCAAACGCTTGAGAAGGATGCTTATGAAGATAAAAAGAAAGAGTTGGAAGAAATTGCTAATCCCATTCTTTCCAAAATTTACGGTGCAACTGGAGGCATGCCAGAAGGTGGTATGCCTGGTGGCTTCCCCGCCGGTGGCTTCCCAGGTGCCCCTGGAGCTTCTGGATCTGCTGCTGCAGATGCCAACGGCCCAACCATTGAAGAGGTCGACTAACAAGTCCACACCATCTATCTAATACACTTATGGATACAAAATATAAATTTAGCGTTAACCCTAACCCTCCCCACTCTAGTGGCTTTGCAACAGGGGAGGCGTGGCCACATAAAATTGCGAGGTCGTTCAAAATATATTTGAATCAAATTCCACAAGGTTAAGGTACAGGGGGTGGTCTAACGTTTGCTTTGCGATCGGGCAAGAAGAGAAGCAACTTGAGTCTTTAAAATATCAATTGAGCACTTAAGCCGGTCATTTTCGGTCAGCAGCTGCAGAGACCATTGTTGATAAGTAGCCAGGCATCTTGCCTGAAGCGCCAGAAGCGACTCTGGAGGCTCAGACACATATCTATTAACGCCTTCTCCATCAAGTTGGCATGGCGGCGATACGGGTAGATGAAGCCCCATGTGCTCCTTGAGAAGATTCCAATGGGCTGTGGAAAAGTAGCATCCAATCCAGTGGCATTTGTGCGGCAACTTACGTTCTGAAATTTTTGTTTTTGACGTTATCGGCGTCGGCGAGGGCAATATTTCCGCCTCAACAGCAGTTGAGGCAGGATGCGCCACTACTGGGGGCGGCAATATAGTACTAATTACAGCTGGTGCATGGTGATTTTCACTTGCCACCGGCATGAGGGGCTCGACAGACGTACACGCCAGTGTAGATACAGAGGCAACAATACGCGCCTGTGGGAGTAGCTCTTCAATATGATGCGGGTACTTTGGAGCCACAGGTGTTTCAATAGGAATGTTAAGGGGTTTTGCATGCCCTTGATTTCTCACCACGTGGACGGATTCACTTTGTGGAAGAGATGAGGACGTAGGAGCGAGAGGCGCCGGCTTTGTCTTCAATGACTGCATCGAGCAAGCTTTTAAAGGGGTGCCGACTTGAGATGGTACAGTATCGTCCACGCATAACGGGGTCATGGGGGCTGGTATGGAACGTGGGGATGAAGGCCAAGTCCCAGATCGCTTTGAAGGTACACCAGTGTCCTGGGCAGGAACATGTGTATTTTTTTCGGCAGAAACGGGAAGTTTTGATGATGGTGCGGTCAAAATTTGATGAGCAGATGAAGAGAGAATCTGTGGAATCGCGGTCGATTGGGTACCAATGGCCGTCAGGCGCAAATCGTTGAGAAGCTCTTTGGGTATGAAAACAGCGCGAAATGTTTCGGTTTTAGTGTGTAGGGCAAGAAAAAGCCAACCCTGGGCTTGTCTCCGTTGTGCTTGCGAGATGAATTGAAAAAGAATTGACGGAAGCTCAGCAATTGCGATCGGCTGCAAGGAAAGGGTCCATGCACCTTCTTGTGGATTGATGATCATCAACAGAGCCTTCTTGGCATCTTCTGAGATTTGCTTTGCACGATTGATGTAATCGGCCAGTGCTACTGGAGAAAAGGTCAAAATCTGCAAAGAGTTGCATGCTGCAGTCGGATTTTCCGGGCGTGCACAGAGTAATGCTAAAGCATTTGAGCTCATCGAAACAGATGTAGCTTTCATTACTGCTTGTTCGCCAGGCGATATTGCATCCGTAGATACTGTTGAGCCTGTTGGGTTAATGGGCGTCACGGTTGAGCCTGTTGGGTTAATGGGCGTCACGGTTGAGCAATGTGTTTTTGGAATTTCAGAAAATGCTCGTGGAATGCTTTGGTTGATTTGATCCTCTGTTGGAATTTGTATTTGTGTCGGTGGCAGTATTGAGGATTGTGTTGGCAGCACGGTAGCTGGTTGATCCCGGAAGCTTGGGACCAATAATTCTTTAGGAAGAGAAAGCGGAGAGGTTTCCTGCTGTAAAGTGGTAATTTTAGTACCATTTTGTGCGGTCTGTTGTTGATTGGAGGTTTTTGGAAGAGGGGGAGGCTCGGAATCACAGTCCTTGTCGACAGATATTTCGTGAAAAGGGAAAGATGCTTTTGGAATTTCCAATCCGCTATTTGGCAGTGCAATTCTGGAAGGTGAATCTTGGCTGTCGTCACACTGAGAAAATAGCTCTGCTAGCTCTGCAGTGAGCAGGGGAGGAAGCTTTTTTGGCGGCTGTTGCTTGATGCCCGACTCTTGGGGTTTAGACCTTGTGTTGTGTGTGTCTGAAGTTTGACTTTGCGTATGCAATGGCGTTTTGAAAGAAGAGACTTTTAATGTTTCGGGCATGTGCATGTCACCTCCAGAGGATGATTGTGAAGATGCAGAAGATGTATGTTCCAATTTAGGGGCTTTCTTGGAAGTCTTGATTTTTTGCGGCAAAAACCTTAACAATGGAAGCTGACAAAAAGTAGAAGTAAGTTTGGCGATCGCAGGATCGTCTATCAGCAGCTCCTGCTCTGCAATTGGAATTTTTGTGACAACCAAAAGAAAGCCGTGCTTGATAGAAAGAATTTCATCAAAACTGGGCCGGTTAATAAGTTTCAACGCCGGATCTACCAGGACAATAAATTCCCATTTTTTCTGCATCGAAGAGAGAGAAAATGCCGCTGAAGGAGGTTCTATACGAAGGCGACAGGATGCCGACGACGATCGCGACACGACGCGCCACTCTTCCATCAGCGATGTTGGACAAAAAATGAGTATCTTGGCGGATTGGCAGGCGACCCATTCCTTGAACTTGGATTCGTGTCTACTTTTTGCGTCGAGAAAAGAGATCATGCCAATGGATGCATTGGAAGCTTGCCTGACCTCGGAAATCCACTTTACTGGGTCCATGTTTACGGAGATGGCGAGTGAAAGGTGCCGTGGAACCTTTTCGCTATCCCTTTGCGAGGATTCTTGAGAATGCGTAGACATTTGGGCTTTCGATATTTCGTGCTGTTCATTTATGGTGTTATTCGAATCCGGTGAGCTGACAGGTTGTGGAGTTTTTTGTTTCATACCCGGAATCTCTTCTTTCAGCTTGATGGCGGCTTTTTTTTCTGATCGAGCATCAAACTTTCTTTGCTCCCTCGTAATATGCTTGTTTTTTTTCTTTTTAACAGTGTTGAGGTCGTTGTCGAGGCAGAATCTCTTAGACGCTGCAGAACTTGGAGGCGCCTTTCTGGATCTCCATTCTGCAATCAGGCCCTCGTCGATGATGTTCTCTTGCGGCTCCCATGTAGCGTCTTCCGTTGGATATCCCTGCCACTTGACAAGGAAATAAATAACCCCGTCATCATCAGAAATTTCATCCAAAATTCGCTCTACCAAATAAACATCTTCGGAATTTGTCTCTTCATCTGCAGCCTCCCCTTGCACTTTCGAGGCAAGATCAACAGCCGATGATGCCGATGATGCCGATGATGCCGGCGACTGCATAACCTGAAAAATTGGCCGAAAAGTTAAATTTTCGCTAAACTTTATTTTTAATTACTCAATTTCTGGGCATGCCCCCATCAAATTCTTATCACGGCGACAATTTCTCTTCCCACAAGAATCGACAGGCAGAGGGCAATGTTCCAAATACAGCCAAAATAGCAGAAAATGGTGCTTTTGACGGCGCAGTTTCGCCACAAGATCTTCCCGGGACTGGATTGCCTCAATCAAATGCGGGACTCGCAACATATCTCCACAATGGCGTCAGTTGGGAGGCGGAGGCGGAGATTCCATCCTCTTTTGTTCCTTCATATTGCAGGGGCATGGAGCTTGGATCTCCGAAGCGGCAACACACACAAGAATCTCGGTCATATGCTGCTCAAGAATCAGGCGTCCAAGACCACAATCAAGCTCAAATGGTCCTCTCCTCTTCAGAGTCTGACATTGAGGACGTTCAGGACGATCAAGAAAAGGGGTTCAAGGCCGGCAATGATGAGGTCGAGGCTCTTTTGCGTATCCCAATGCTTGAGAGCAAACTGGAATCTGGGCTGATCTCCACATATGGCCGTAATTTGATGCAGACGCTGGAGAAAGACCATTGTCCTATCAGCGGTGAGGCGCATGCTTATAATACAATAGAATTGCCGCCAATCGGTGACGACTCTTTGGAGGTATCCTCAGAAGGCTACTTTGTGTGGTCGATTCCGAACTTTCTTTCCCTCTTCAAACACAAAGAGCTTTGCTCGCCCGTCTTTAAAATGGACGACGATTCATACTGGAAGCTGCTTTTGTATCCACGCTCTGGGCCAAGTGCATCCACAAGCGCATCTCAGGTGTCGCTGTATTTGATGCGCGTGGTCCCTCAGCGGGCCCCAACGACTGCAGATAAAGCGACACTATGTGTGCAGTTCAGCCTTTCCATTGTGGTACCTTCTGCATCAGAGGTGCTTCTGCAACGTACAAACAACCACCGATTTATCGGGGCTTCTGTAGCGCACCCTGCCTTGTCTATGACATCATCTGGTTCTCACGCATCTGCTTCAGTGCTTCAAACTTCCTTTTTAGATTGTCAGGATTGGGGATATCTTTCCTTTGTTCCGACGGCGCGTCTTTTGCGAGTTTGCTGCAGAGCAGAGCCGCAATGCGAGCTTAAAGTTGTGGCCCTGATCCGAACCATTAATGACCCGGTTGGTAATCTTTGGATTGACCCGCTTTCTTACGATTCGAGGCGCGAATGTGGCTATGTTGGGTTGCGAAATCAGGGTGCCACGTGCTACATGAACTCATTGCTCCAGTCGCTATTCATGGTTACGGCGTTTCGCGCGGCTACATTTGGAATTCCGGTCACAGAGACAGCTTGTGCCGATACCAGCAATATTCCTCTGGCACTGCAACGACTTTTCTATTCACTTCAAGTCGCAGAGGGGGCCGTTTCGACGACGGAGCTCACGCGTTCCTTTGGATGGAAATCGATCGAATCGTTTTACCAGCGAGTATTGGTGCCTTTTTTATTGTAGGATGTGCAAGAGTTTTCGCGCTTACTGATGGATGCTCTTGAGCGCAAGATGAAAGATACACCTGTCGAAAAGGCGCTCGACGAGATCTTCAGGGGCGAGACGCTTCGCTATGTGCGGTGTCTCAATGTGCCTTTTGAGAGCACGGGGAAAGAGCCTTTTTACGATGTCGCAGTGACCGTTAAAGGAATGCCATCACTCGAGCGCTCCCTTGCCGCTTTTGTGGAGCCAGAGTTTCTGGTTGGCGAAAATTCATACAATGCCGAAGGCTATGGGCTTCAAGAGGCAAAGCTTGGAGTTGTGTTTGCCACGCTGCCTCCCGTGCTGCACATCCAGCTGAAGCGATTTGAGTACGATTTTGAACGCGATCGAGTGGTCAAGGTACCGCGATGGCCTCCTCAATTTAGATCAACGATCGGTTCGAGTTTCCAGAAGTGCTTGACATGGCTCCTTTTGTCATGCTGGGCAATGGTGCATCTGCTTCTTCCATGGCTATGCAGAAATCATCCAATTTAGCCGCGGTACCGCCATGTTCCGATTCACCAAAGTCTTCGCTTCGGTATCGTCTGCACGCAGTATTGGTACACTCTGGAGATGTCGGTGGAGGCCACTATTATGCATTCATTCGAGGCGGAGCCTCTAGTGATGATTCGAATTCATCGTGGGGTCGTTGGCTACGTTTCGATGATGAGAACGTTTATCCGGTGTCCGCCAAAGAGGCCATTGATGAAAACTTTGGAAACTCCCAATCGGTGCTGGGGACCCATTCTGGCGCAGATTCTTCATCCAAGATGTCTGCCAGCGTGATGATAAAGAGGCACACCAGTGCGTATATGCTCGTCTATGTCCTTGAATCTAGATGGATTGAAATGGTCGGAGGTATCCCGAGAGCTCCAGACCATGTTCTTACACCATCAAACTCATCTTCCTGCGAAGAGGAGACCGTACGGCGGCACCAAAATCAATCCCTTGCAAGTGTTAGGCTCCTCACAGACACCGTTCTAAGAGAGGTTGGCGAATATTCGGACCGCGGGCTTCCTCTTGACAGTGCTTTAGAGTCTTCCACCATCATCACAAAGGTTTTCCCGCATTTTCTTACTTTTAGCCCTCCTCTGAGCTGCTTGGCTCATTCGCCATGGAGTTAGAGCAGGAATATGGAATTCCAGTTTCCTGCCAGCTGTTCTATCTCATTGAGGCTCATGGAGGAGCAGAAGGTGCGCAGAGAAAAATCCAACCCATCACATCCCTTGGTACCTCGTTTGGGGAGCTCGCAAATGCGTTTCTCTATCTTACCTGTAAAATAGATGGGGATTCAGATCAATCCAGTGGCGATGATGGATCCAATCGCAAAAATGGCGCCTGTCCCTTAGATGATGGCATCGAGTATGACGTTCCTCGATCTGAAGAGCTTCTTTTTCCGCAAGGAGAGGGGTCTCCAAAGAATCTTGAGCGAGCCGGCCAGGTTTTGCTGTTCATCAAGTCATTTGATGTGCAGGATGGCTCGTTGCGGTTCCAGGCCTCCATGGTGGTGGGGAAACACTCCGCCATTGGGAATTCCATTCGATCTGCTCTCGAAATTGAAGACCTATCTGATTGGCTTCTTGTAGAGGAGGCAAAAATTGATGCCGGAGACCCCCTCTCTTCTTGCTTTGTCGATCCCTGCGTGCCGATTGGCACGCAGCTGGATGAGTCTAGCATGGACGGCGTTGTGCTTATAATTCTCAACAGAATGGATTTGTCCTCCTTTGAGCGTCAATTTTCGACCGTTTGTCTTTCGGTGCTTTTTGGCGAGGCCTTGGTAAATATGGGCGTTGAAGTGCCTATTATTGAGAACGTGCATTTTCCGCTCTCCGTCCAACTGGGTACGCTTATTTATTGATTGTAGGTGATCTTCTTTGCAAGCTCGATTTTGCCTCTTTCCCGCTGCTGATTGACGGGGCAGCTCCTGATGTCGGCGATGTTAAATTGCTTTCACAGTCCAATGAATGGATTACGCTCCCTCATCAAAATTTGCACAAAATTAGTGTCCGAGATGTTGTCTTTATGGCAGGGTATAAGGGGATTCTTTCGCGTCGGAAATCGGGCATTCAAATCACCACTGCGGTGCCGCCTTCTGGGCAGGAGGTGTTATTTTACCGGCAGACACACAGAGAGTTTGTTTGTGCCTCTCTGGGCAAAGATACGCTTGAAATGTCCCTCAACTATCTGGTTCAATTGCGCAAGCGTGTAAAGTGCTCTTTTAAAGATTGTCACGACACCTTTTCGCTGATCGATTTTATTCCCAGCTTTCTCCCATCTGAAATGTCATCCCTGAAGCTTTTGGAGACCGTGAATGGGATGGTTGTCCGCGTATTTGGCCATGAGGACAAACTGGATGTGGTTGGGGGGCGTTCGTTGCTTTATTTGGTCGACCTTCGGCATCATGATGGCTCTAATCACATTATTCGAATAGTGCACAGCAGACCTTCCGCTGGTGCTGCGATCGCTCTACATGTGCCATCACAGTCTTCATCGTCATCTTCATCGCCGTCATCGTCATCATCCTCAAAGTTCTCTTTAATGCCCTCATCAAGGACATCGTCGTTCTCAACAGCGCGATCATATTTTGGGGTTCCATCGCTTTTTGTTGTCCATCCTGGAGAATCAATGGAGGCAACCATGAAGCGACTTGCCCGGACAGTGCCGGGAGTTACCGAATTCGATGTAGCTTTTGGGAGAGGCTCTTTAAAAATCCACCACATCCGTCCATTGGGAGGCCAAAACGAATCCTCTGAAAGACTTATCGCAACCGCTTCGCCGGCAGCCGACCCTAATGCAGCGGCACCCGTACTTTCTGCTGAAGATTCGTTATATGAGTATATCAATCTAGAAAGCAATCGCTTTGACAAAGATCTTGATCTTCTTGCAATAGAGCATCCAGAACGATCGCCATTGCCTATCAGGGAGATAGGCTCTTTTTCTCGGTTTTCGCAGACGCCCTCTGTATCTCAGCCAATCTCGCCCGCATCGGCGTCTTCGTGGGCGCGTCCAGGAGATTCCATGCGTATCAACTGAAGCAAAGTAATTTGAATAAACTAAATCCACAACTGCGTGCAGCTAGCGGCAAATGACAATCGGCAAATGACAATGCATGTCTGACGTGTGTTTCGCGCATGGGCGACCGTAGCTTTAACCAAATAGTTGCCGATGATAGGCATCGACATTTTCAAGAAAGTGTATGGAATTCTTTACTGGAAACATATAGCGGCCGTGTCTTCAGGGTGGCTGCTAATTATCTAATGGGATTCCGAGAGACTTGCAAAAAGCGGCTTCATTGAACGGACGTCCCAAGAACGATTTTACCATTTCGGCAGCATCCCTGATAAGTTAAGGGCGAAGAAAAGCCTACTTGTTCGACCCAGGCTCCAAAATTTCAGTGCGGTAGGAAAGGCCAACTTCGCCATCAAACACAGCGCCGGGATGGCTAAATTTAGTTGCAAACAAATCCTCCGAAATAACAAGGCTCCACAGATATCCATAATAGCCGGCATCATCTAAAAAAAGCTAAAGTAATCCTCAAAAATACATCCGCTCATCAGATGGCCAAAGGTGTTTGCACCAAAGCTTTCTTTATCTTCTTTGATTCCCGTAAGGGCGAATCGAAGGTCCTTCCAGTGCTTTACAAGCAAAGCATAGGTCCAACCATCCGGAGAAATGCCATCAGGAAAAATAGAATGCAGGGACATATCAAATATTGCAAAGAAAATTTGTCTCCGATAATGGAACCCAGTATTCAAGTTTTTAGATGCCAAAAGAGCCTTCAAGCTCGATTCCAGCAGCGAGTCTTCAGTGAGGAATGAAAGGGATTGCGAGTTCCAGCACCAATTTTCCAGCATCTGGGATGGGGCTTCCACGAAATCTCCCTCAACAGAAAAGCCATGGAATGTTGAGTAGCGGCTTTTAGAGCAGATGTGGTGCATTGTGTGCCCCAATTCGTGGAACAGCGTGACCACCTCCTGATGCTTCAAAAGGGACTCTCCTTCCGAATCTGGTTTGGTGAAATTGGCAACCATTGCCGCAACGGGAGTCTGATAGTGAGGCGTCGAGTCCTTTTCGCCGTAAATGTCGATCATTCCAGGCTGGAGGGGAAAACAAGCTGCATGACTGTACTTGCCTTCTCGTGGAAAAAGATCAATGAAGAAATATCCCATGACATTGTTTGTTTTCCCGTCCAAAGCCTATCAATTATATTAGGAAACCCCGACCTGATACAGACGAACATCAGGATGCCAAGATAGATGGTCTGCTGGAATCTCTTTGAAGCGAAAACACAGCACGCGCTCGTAGATTTCAAGCATCTTCAAAAGAACTTTGGTGAGCGGAAAATGCTTTGAAATTTCTTCCTCATTGATGCCAATTTTCTCGGCCTGGATGCGGTTGTAATATGCAAAGTCATGAGCCTCCAGGGTTAGATCGGGCGAGGGCCCTTTTTCGGCCTCTTTTTCTTTGAGAAGCAACAGGCGCTCCTGCTCAATCAGTGGGGTAAGGCGCTTCGAAATCTTTTCCAAAAAAGACATCACTTCAGCGGGGCTTTTGGCCATTTTTTCTTCCAATTGAAACGAAGCGTGATCTGGGTACTTCAACAGAGTGGCACACTTGTGTCTCAGTTTCAAGGTCTCCACGATGCGCTCCCCATTTTCAATACAGCGACTTGAATAAGCCAAATTCATTGCCTTCCGAGTATCTTCCACCTTGCAGTATTTTAGCACGGCATTGTAGTCTGGGTATTTCATGGTAACCACAAAGAGCTCTCCATGCTTTTCAAAAGCAGAAAGCTGATTGTCGCTAAGACCATCTAGTTGCGCTCGAGTGAAGGTCAACGAGGTCGTATCTTCTCCAATAGTGGCGGAAAACTCAATCGACATGGCAGCAATTCGCTTTTTCCATTCCTTGAGCAGATCCCTATCGCTTTTTTCGGAAAGGTCAAGCCCGGAGCGGCGAAAGCGTCGAAGCATATGGGAAACTAAACGCTTATCCGTTGCATTGCACAGCTCGACGTCTGGGATGGCCTTAATGGCAGCATACAAATCTTCGCGCATGCTTACTTCGACCAGAAAATCGTCGATGGCCTTATTGGCCTCAACGGAGGCGTCTCGCACCTTTTTATCTGTAGAAACATATTGGGGAAATGTGAGCGAGGAAGAAAAAGTAGCCAGATATCCCTCCACAAGTGAAATGGGTTCTGCCGTGTTTTCAAACGTTCTCGACGTGTCGGAAAGCGACGAAATGGAATCGTATGCCATCTGGGCCGCAGAAATGAGATCCCTGCACTTGTCTTTGATGCCATTTGCATCAAGCGAAAAGTCTACCTTAATATCCCTCCCATCGATATGATGGAAGCCATTGAAAAAAGCACGAGTGGACATCACTGAATATTGTCGGGTGCAAGAAAAAATATTTTTGCACAACAAGATCATAAGCCGGTCTGATTTTAGAAGTGTATTATTAAAAACAAGGCTGGGCTGGCAATTTTAAAGTTTATCAGCTAGCGAGGTCATCTGGAATGTAGCCGGATGCGAAAGCGCGTTCCAAATGCCTTATCTCACTGAGCGACGTTGCCTGTGCAATGGCAGCCTAGAATATAAATCCGACGCACAAATAAATACCTTCATCCGCTCCTTCTTCTGCTGCGAATATTCGTCTTGTTTTTTGACAAGAACTGCGGTGGAGGAATCTGAAGCGGAAAGAACGCCAGATTGCAACAATTCTTGCACATATTTGCGTTCCTTGGAAAAAGTTGGCGTAACGTACCTTGTCTGTAACCTTACAATAATCCAAAACCCTTAAGCTTGGGATCAGCGAAATCAGAAAATGTCTGTAGTTGGGTTTTTTGCAGACTGGATTATCGATCAACGAAAGCCCCTCTAATTGGGGTTTGTAATAGGTGTTTTTATGCCTCAAATCAGACCATCCGGCCAGAGGGACCAGGTCTGTAAGCTCCGAAATATTATTTCCGCTTAGAATAAGCGTGTGCAGAAACGGAACCCGTTGCGCAAGGGCAGGGTCTATTTTTGATATTTTGTTGTTTGAGAGATACAGGTGCTTCAACCTGAAGAGAGGAGGAACATTGTCCAACTCCCGTATTTCGTTGTCCGAAAGATCAATGGTATCGTGGAGATCACGGGTCGAAGACAGATTTTCAATTGCCACAATTTTACAACCTAATCTGTAAGCAGCACACAAGGATACCCCGCAAGTCAAGCTCTCGATCGCCAATGGCATTTGTGAATACCGGAGAGTGCTCAATCAAATCCAAAGAGAGCCTCACCATAAAATTAAGTAAAATTAAAATTACCCCCCCCCCAACAAGCACATCATTTACATTGGCCCCATGGCACAAATTAACCCTACTTTTTGTTTAGGTTTACACCGTCATTCACCAACCCTATTATCACAGGTAAGTCCAATAATCATTTTCCATATTCATTGTTATCACACGGGCCATTTCTTATGCGAATCTTACGCACTTAGATGGTACGAGAAACACATTCTGATTCAAGTCCCGCGCAAGAACACTTCCCGTCCAGCGCGATCCCCGATCTTACCGCTCGGCGAAAGGGGCGTCTACCAAGGAAGGAGGCTAATGAAATGTTGGGCGATAATCACGCGTCCAATTTAGACCATCCTCAAAGCCACAACACCATCGTTTCTATCCATAATTCGCACTCGCATCTGTTGAACTCTACGGCCGGAACATCGACCCCATTTCATCAGCTTTCTAGCATGATGGAGGATGAAGAGGCCGAAAAAGAGGCTTCAAATGACGAGTTTGAATCTCTTTCTTCAGAACTTGCCCCATTGAGGAAACGGACATCCAAGTCTGCGAAGAGCTCTGCCATTGCCACACCACCATTGGCAAATTCAGAAACTCGCAGGGCTAAAAGAGCGTCTGGGGAGCACCTTTGGAAGCATCGGTGTTTTTGGGATGAAGAAGAAACGGAGTAAGTTGCCGGCCTTTCCCTGTGATTGCCAATTATTTATCACCATCTAATACCAATTCTTTTATTTAGATATTTGAAGGAGGGTGTCAGGAAATATGGAAAAGGAAAGTGGAAGGCTATCCTTTCGGACCCGGCATTCAAATTCAAGGATAGGTCTTCCGTAGACCTGAAAGACAAGTGGCGAAACTTGGAAACATTCGTTCCCTGGTCTGATCACGGTACGATTGCTTTTACTTTTGCCTTGCTCTGGCTTTGACCTTGCGCAACAATTTTTCTAATTTGCAGAGATAAGACGGTATATTCTTTTGGACGAGTCCCACGCACCGTATCGTACTGCCGCTTCCAACTTTCACATCTTCCAGAATAGGTTAGCGGCTTTGTTTATAAAAATAGATGGCCCCGTGATGCGGCTCTAAAGGTGGCCTCCAGGGACGAGTTTTATTCATTGGGCCCTGATGATAATACGCCATTTCTGATATATCTTAGAGAAATCCGATCTGTCGATCCTACAGCCACATACTCTGGGGAGGCCTGTGGCTCTCTTGTTTCTGAAGAGGAGCAAGTTGTCCATGTTTATGAAGGCACCCGTGAGCGCCGGGTTGCAGCGGACATTGAGAAGTTTCAGAACAAACGTTTTATGTGGGTACCGTCCGTTGTGAAGCTTCGAACAGAAAAGCTGTCCTATGGCCGAAAAAGCACCTCCGTGGCTTTGCCTTCCGGTGCGCCTTCCGTATCAATTTCGTCTTCAGGACGGATGGGGATTCTGATGCCATAGCTTAATGGCAAAATTACGAGTTATGTATCAAGGTTTCTCTATAAATTTTTTTACAATTTACTTGGATAACATGCAAGAGGACGCGGACGCACATGCACTATCTACTCCTTGGATAGCTGGTGTGGTTAAGAAAAGGCGAAATTCGATTGCTAGGGTATTTCCAACCCAGTTCACCCAACAGAGGAGGCACGGCGGCCTCTTCGTTCCATACAACAGAGCTGTCGTTTGCATTCGAGTTGCTTGGAGACCCATTTTTGTCAAGCTCGGCTGATGGGGTGAACCCAATCGGCCTCAGAAGCTCCCGTGGGGCACGGCTCCAAGACTGCTCTAACAATCTGCACTTTAGCGCATAAAGTACCCTGTCTAATTTCATCTCCACATAGGTCTGGGAACGGATGAAGGCAAGATATGGCCAAGTGGCATGCTCGCCTCGTAAAACCGCTGAATGGACCCTGTCTGAAGTGGGAGCCGTAAAAATATTCAGCAAGTCTGTCAAGGCTATGGTGCTTGGAACAATTGTCACATCGCCTTCGTACTTTTGAGAGAGGATGTTTCTTAAAAAGACGCCCAGCCGTCTGGGAACAAGGCCAAAATCAATCAGCATTGGGAGCCTAAAAAGGATTTCTTCCCTCAACACATGGCACACAATGCGTTTAAACGAATCAAGCCTTGATTCGCGGATACCGCCCTTTGTGAGAAAAGGGACCACGTGTGGATTAACCTAAAATAAGCCCCAAAATGGAAACCTGCGATACGATGAAAAAGTTTACATTAAACAGGTGTGCAATTCTGGATATTGGAAGGTCATTTTCAACAGACCCGTCCATCCAAGTTGCATCATCCGAGCCCGACCATGGGATGATTTCCCCAGACGGGGTTTTTACAAGAATCCTACTGGATTTAAAGAGAGTTGGAGCTGCACAAGACGCAGCAACTGCCGTCCAAATCAGCACATATGGTGATGTCAAATAATTCAAAAGGCGAGGCATTTCATATGGCGTGGTCGATGACACGGCAACATTCAAAACGCGTCGGGTGCGATTGTAGGCCTCTAGAAAGGTGACCGTTGCACCGACATGTTCACGCAAAAATTCGGAGAGAACGTCGCTATCGAAAACGGCGCCATCTCGTATGAGCCGGATAAGCTGCCTGGCGAATCTGGCCAACGGAAAGGTGGTATGTTTGAGGTGTTGATCTGGGCCTTCAAAGAAATGCCAAGAAACGTCGTCAAGGGATGCAAGGATTTCTTGAAGTTCAGAATCCAAACGAATAGCTACCATGGAGGCCACGATGGCCCCCGCTGACGACCCACATAGGATGCGAGGTAGCATTTTTTGCTCATACAAGCATTTGAGTACGCCAATATGATGGATGCCAAGCGTAGCGCCGCCGGATAACATCAATGCAGAGTTTCCAAGTGTATGTCGCAAGTCAGAAAAGAAAGATAGCTGCCTCATTATCAGGTCGGCAGAGGAAATGTTGTGAAACGAATCGTTTTTGCCGGACGCAGGAATTGGGGATCTTGAAACGGAAGAAACTTCCGTGGCTTCTGAAGGCAAATATAAAGGTAGCCCATGTATTCGGCCGTCCAGCTGTGGCGGCGAGATGTTTTGAAAATAAGACTCTTGCGACACCACATAATCAATCAGCGAAGACGTTTGCTTCAAGTATTTTTCGATCAATGATTTCGTGCCTATTCTAGAGTACCGGTACAGCTCTTTTGCGCCAATGTTGCCGATATTTCTTGACATGCTTGTTCGAAGCAAAAATGCGACAGCATTGACATCTGCCCAAGAGTAGGCGCTTTGCATTTCTTCCAATCGGCGAGAAAGCAGTTCATAATCATACACGGACGAGGTGTCTTGAAGTCGCCATAAATGTTGGCCTAAAGTGCTGCGTTAGCAACGCTGCATTTTTACCTTCCAAGATATCCAATTGCGAGGCAAACTGAAGCCATTCGGAATAATTCGTGGCATTGTTCATGCCAAGCATCAGCTCGTTTTTAATGAGCACTTGGTCCATTAACCTTCCATAAATGATCTAAAATCAGCAGGAAAATCCAACCTTGTACCAAAACGACAGGAAATCTACAGAAAACTCATAAAACTGCGTTATAATGGCCGTCAGAATATCTTTCTCTGCTAATTAGCATCACACAAATACCGAATGCCGGGTTCAACGCCCGAGTTATGACAGAAAAAAATCCCATACGCTTCAATGCGGTTTGACTTCAAGTAAAGTTTGGAAAATTACTGGCTTTGATGCATGATCAAAGATCAAACATTGACTTTCCATTTAAGTGCATGCTGATTAATTGAAGATAATTTTTAATTTAATTTTTACATCCTTCATTATTTTATTCAAATGTCTCAAACACACACCTCCTCAGCCACATATGAATGGGGAACCCAACCTACAGCCTCTGGGAGGCAATTTTCATCAGAGAATTCCGAGGCTTCTTCTTCTTCTTCTGCTGTCAAATCGCCATGCACCTCCATGTATCTCCCACAATATTTATTGGGTCAGGCCTCTTCTCCAGACCCATTAAGAAATTTACCACTCACATCTTCACCGTCCAAAGGCACACCGCCATCCTTCTTTCATGCTGGCAAAAACAATGTCTCCGCGAACCAAGTTCATTTGGAGCGGAGAACTTTCTCTCCACTCCGGGATACGATATCTATCGATAATTTAAATCAAATAATTGCCTCTAGCTCTTCTTCTTCTTTTGCAGATGCAGTTCCTAGCTCTGGTCTTCTTGGCAGTCCGCCTAGGGAATCGCTGTCGGATTCTGTAGCACATACACCCTGTACTCCAACACCATCTTCAGGAGGTGTCGAAAATGCTATGCTTGCACAGTCCCCAATAACCCCGTTCTCCTCCATTAGGAACAGAGAGTTTCCTATTTGTACGATGACAACTATATTTGGATTTCCACCGGCAGAGTTGGATGTGATCATCTCATATTTTAAAACGATAGGAACTGTGAAGTTTATTAAAAGCCTTAATCCCATCGAACCCAAATCTAGCAGCACGTTCAGGGATCCGTTTGATAACTGTTCCGCTGGTCCGTCTTGGATCCATGTAGAATGGGCTTCCCCATTGGATGCTTCAAAAGCATTAGAAAAGCAAGGAACTTTAATGTTTGCAACGTTGGCTGATGGCACAGATGTACAATATATGCTTGGGGTCATTCCATTTGATACGGCAAGGGCCAAGTTAAATTCCATTTGTGCCGAGGATGTAATTTGGTCATGTAGCCCGGTGAAGCTTAAGCGCCAAAACACGCCATCTTCCTCCATCCAGAATACTGAAAATATCTTTTTAGATTACAAACAAAATCACGCCGACGAGGCCTTGTTTCCGTTAAGGGTGGAACAAACCCAAGAACTTGGCAGTTATTTTGACAATCTTTTAAATTGGTTTTTTGGGGTGTAAAAATTCAAATAAATATTTTGGTTCCATCAATGGCTGCGTTGTTGCCGCCTGTTGAGGCGTTTCCCAAACAAGTGAAAAGTGGGATGGCGCCATTTTGTGGGGGCATCGATGAGGCCGGAAGGGGGCCGGTTCTTGGTATGTTCACTTCAAGTAACTTGAAAGGTCCTCTTGTATATTCCATAGCATTTTGCCCTTTACACGAGGAGGCGAATATAAAGCAATTGGGGGTCCAAGGTATCCATCATGTTGCAGTCTTAATGTTAGATTCGAAGACACTTTCTGCAGACCAAAGAAACAACTTTATCAAATCGCTGACTAGTGCCAGAGCTTCAGCAGAGTTTGGTTGGTTGATCAAACCAATCTCTGCTGTTGAAATATCGCAAGCCATGCTAAAAAAGTAGGTCGCTTTTAATGAGCAACAATATTAGGAACAAGATCAACCTTAATACGCTATCGCATCTAGCAATAGTAGAATTGATCGAGCGTGTTCTTTCCAAGGGAATAAATATCACTACCGTAAAGATGGCGATTTTATTTTCCATAGCTTTGGATCGATACTGTGGGCGTGCCCGCCTCACTGGAGAGATTTCTTTCGTCTAAATTTCCAAAAATCAAATTCACGGTCTCGCCAAAGGCAGATTCTTTATATCCAATGGTATCTGCGGCCAGCATTCTTGCTAAGGTGCCTTGTGTCGCGCTAATCTTCAGGTTTTCAGAGATGTTTGCTTGGAAAACTGGGATTTTGCCAGCAACGCTAAAACAGATCGGTTTCAAAACAAAAAGTTTGGATCGGGATACCCGGGAGGTAACTGCCTGCTTTTCAAACTGACTTTCAGATCCAGTAACCATCGGTTGGCTGAATAATAATATTCAGCCGTTTTTTGGCTTTGCTGACTTGATTCGTTTTTCTTGGTCGACGTGCGAAAAAATCCTGCAAGAACATGCTATTGAAATAGAGTGGCCTGTTCCAACGATTTCTGAGCTTGGCAGCAGTGTTGAATGCAGGACAGTGGAGGTCAAGAAGGCAAAAATGCACAAGCAAGCTGATGCGATTCCAAGTTGTGGCCAGCGGAAGCTTTCTAGCTTTTTTAAAGGGCCAAAAAGCGGTGAATCTACCGGCCCATTTCAGGGGTGCTTGGCAAAGGCTACGCCTCTGGCAGCCTTAAACGCACACAATCGAATGGCTGATAATGGCACAGACCTATTGAACACGAGGGTTACACTTAATTTAGGCCTTAAGCCCTCAAATACCCTAATAAACCGGAGGTGACATTTATTTTCTAGGGTCTGATTTTGGTCCTTGCGTTAGATATCCAATGGTAAGGCCGATGAGAAAAATGCAAACAATTATCAGCACTATGAGCATGTGAATGATAAATAAAATCGACTGCTCCTCCACCAGTGTTCTTAATTGCATTTCTAAACTAAATCAGCAGAAATTTGGTACCATTGAGCGAGAAAGGAAAGAGAATTGCCGGAAGCTCCTTATATTCCATCAAGTGCAGTGCGCGGAATTATGCTCAAATAGGAGAAAATTCCATTGGACGTGCAATGAAACAAATTTGGCGTACAAAATAAATTTATTAATAAATAAGAGGCACAATGCTTCACTCTATAAGCGATGGGTTCTTAATGATTCCTAGATTCTTTGTGTTGGACCCAAGAAAGGAAAGAATTCCAAAAAAGATTTACACCTTGGACGATCAAGGGTTGATAAGGGACCGGAATGTATCGGAAGTTGGCGAATTGAATTGGAAGCCACACAGCAACGCCAGTCAAATACGTTGTGGAAAGCTCGTCATGCAGCTTTTTTTTGATATCCTCTTTTGACCTATTTTCCATGCAGCCGGAGACGGTAAAAAAGAACGACAAATAGAAAGGATCAAATACGATTACGTCAAGGAAAGTCTTGAAGGCAGTTATTTTTAGCAATCTGGATGTTGCGTTGGAAACTTTTGCGCTTTGAAGATGGGAGGGAGTTTTGAGCAGCTTTGAGGGTATCACGGAGCTCGGGTAGGATTTGAACGTGTGTGTTGAAAGCTTTTCTAAAAGGGTAAACCAGAATGTATAAATTGGCGCAGAAAAAAACGTTCCATACAAAGTCATTCGAACAGATCTTGGCCAGTCGATTTGCTGAGTAAATGTGGAGCGCTCCCGCTGCACAGGTGTCATTGTAGAATCGCAAATGCACTCTGGGCATGTGGCAGACGTACAGCAGGAAAGCTCGGTGCCCGAGCTGGCGTGCCAAACCAAGTATTGGCAGAGGACATCACCCGAAAACCAAAGCATGCCGGCAGACGCCATTTGTACGGGATATGTGTAGCGGTTTAGCAAATGATTGTAGAACCGGGCAGAGTTTTTAAACATCTGAAAGATTGGAAATCAAATTGAAGTTAAAAATTTTATGCATTATTTGAAATTTTATCTGGTGCCATGAATTGTAGTGGGGATGAATTTGTTTCGCTCTATTGCAATGTCGTTGCGTGCGGGAAGCTTTTTCTCACCGACCGAGCATACATAACTTCGTGTTCTCGTAGGTTTGACATCAATAAGCAATTTAGATATCATATGCGAAGAGTGCGGAACCAAGTTTTTCACGTCCAAATTGCGATGTCCAGCCTGCAATTCAGACTTGTTTGCAGAAAAGGATATCTTTTTTACAAACCTCGATCCAGAAACCGAATGGAAATCAGTAGATGTACGGAGGACTTAGCAGATAGATGGTTTTGGCCGGTCTTTCGCCGTCCACCATTCTCGATGTTGCTAATAGAGCCTTATCGTTCTGGAATTACCAGGCCCGTCAGCAGCAGTTATATTTGGAGTTCAAAATTACGGCGCTAAATCAAGCGTTAAAAGCATCGCAAAATTGCCACGGGAAACCCAGAGAGCATATATCGAGCCGGCATCCAGGTATGGTTACTTGGGCCTTGCTTCGGATTTCCTAGGAAACAGGTCAACATCTTTTCAAAATAGCCAGGCTGATTTTAGAGGCTCCGCGGGGTTTTTGGAAATCCCGAACATTTCAATTATAGAATCATCCGCAAAGAGAAAGCGAAAACGCACCGCTCGATCGGAACGTGTGTTCTAATGGCAGTCAATATCAATACCCCTTCAAACGACTGCTCGCCACCATATTTAAACAGTCGATCCAAAACCGCTAAATGAAAAATTGCATTAAAATTGACATTAAATCCGAAATTTAAATTCATGGACGAATTATCAGTTCAGCCGTCAAAGGCGACCCTTGACTCGATTATATCAACCCGAGTAACCCCTCTTTTCTAAATCCATAGAGGACGTTGAAAGAAGCATCACGAACAGATTTTGTAGCTTTGCCTTCTGGAGGCTTTTCGGAGGGAGCCATCGCTTCCCTGCTGTCGCCCTCAGACGCGGGACGTAGGACCGGCATAGAGATGCCAAAGAACATCCCATTGAATGACCACAACCTCGAGAACGTAGAGGCATACTGGAATGCAGCAAAATCCCCCAATCCGAAGGTCAGATTTACCAGTAGGATTGAGCCTATTCAAGGTGTCGCTGTTGACACAAATCGCTCTGTTGAGACCAACTGCTCTGTTGATGCATTTTTTTCTAATCAACTTGAACTTGAAAACGATACACTCAGTGATGGCAAATTTCCAAGTTCCTTGCCCACCTTTGATGCAACACAGCAAGTAACTGCCTCTACATTATCGATTAATGGAGGAGATGCCATCCATGTGATTGGGGATGATTTTTCAAACAAGGAAAGTCTTAGTTTGGTTGACCACGCCATTGATAAACGTGTAGAGTTGACCACCAATATCGATGATGTCCAGTGTTTGGACGTTTCAGAATCCTATTTTCAACTCTCATTTACAAGCATCAACACGGTGGACACTCATGACGTTGATCCGTCTGGATCGGCCAAATCTAGCAATTCTCCTCATCCCTACACAGAGCTTCCATTCCCAGATTCGGAGCTTTTATCACCAGAGACGATTTCTACAGAGGCCATAATATCCAATACCGAGGGCCATATTATTGTACCGGAAGAACAATTTTTTGAGTATGAGGAGCAGACCATGTTATCTTCTACCAACTCAGATAGCAACGAAAATCACTATGAGGACATCACGGAAGCATCCCTGAAGCCTCATCCTCGCCGGTCAAATAGAAGGAAATATAGGCCATTGGAGTTTTGGAAGAACGAGCGTGTTGTCTATGGGCGTCGTGAATCGTGCGCCAAATTATCGCTTCCAGCAGTTTTAGATGTAATTACGTACCCGGAAATGGACGATAGCAAAGCTTCTAACAAGCGAGTGGGCACAAAAAGAAGGAGGTTAACATGTACTGGGGCAATTTCTTCGGCGAGTAGAAAGAATTTGCCGAAAAAGAAGATTTTGTCCTTGGCTCATAGGTTGGAGCGCCTTGGTTTTGAAGAGCATAAGGAGGTTTCGGGCCCCGTATTTGTTGTCAATTCTGATCACTCCAAAGCAGAGATTTCTCAAAGTAACCTTTTCCAATTCTCATGACATAGAGCTAATGATAAGCCATAACGACATCGATGTATCCTCAAGTTCAAGGAAAGATCGATTTTTTGTGGCATCTACATTTACACAAGAGGGGGCATTTTCATCTGGTTCCCTTGTGCTGCCTGCTCGGTGTGGGAAAAAGCCCAATTCAAATTCAGGCCCGATGTCAATCGTACACATTTTTGGTTTCATTTTAGATTTTTTTCCTTTGCTCCGGAGTATGTAAGGTCACAATACATACTACATCGTTCATAGCCGTTGATGGAGCCGAGTTCAGAATCCCGCCTCACAATCAATTTGAAATTACCAATGAATCTGCAACGGAGGAAGCTAGGCTTTTTTATGTGAATATGAACTGTTGAAAATAAACTTATCTGTGATTCCCATCAGATTTACTCATCAAAATAGCCATATAGGCCTGTTTGGATCCGTTTTTCATGTGGATAATTGAATGTGTGTGGCAGATATCTCTTTTGAGGTTGCTTTATTCAGGGTTAGGGTTTACTATGGTTTTTATTTTAATAAGCGGGATCATGGAAAAGAAACCCTGATCTCAACGCTAGATGCAGCTGAAGATGCAAAACAGGCTTTGGAAGGGCAGATCGGAGCGAAAGCGGAATTAGATTAAGCAAATTTAGGGTTAGTGTTAGGGTTGGATCCCCTTAAATTCTGAGGCGAGACAAATGCGTATTTCAAAATAACGAGGTAAGAGCATTTTCAAAAACTTCGTATTCTCACAAATTCTAAAGATGGACCAAAGGGATATATTCCTTGCCTCAATCATTTAATTCACTCCCGACTGTCTTTGGAAAGCTGCGATAAATAGCAAATTTGATGCCATCCCATTTTGAAAGGACCTGAAGAGTACCGTGTTGAGTCTTGAGCCACGAAAGTGGGTTAGTTAAACGTATAATTAAAAAAATATCCAAGCACACTACAAAAAGCAATAGTAAATCTAAACTGATGAGTATAC